TGTGAACCAGAACAGGTTGACTTTAGAGCAGGTTCGGAGTGAGTTTTCCGAACGCTCTGGAACACTGACAATTATTAACACTAGAACCAGAACAAGAAAAGAAATCGTCTAGGAGTAGGTACCTAACCATATGTTCCTTAAATAGTATTTACAATAATTATTAATTACACTCAACTTGAATCCCTAAATAAAGAAATAAAAAGTAAGTATAACAATTAACAGCAATAATACCTGAAATATAAATTAATGAATGAGCTTACTAAATGCAGTACCTTCGTAAATGGCCATTTAACCCCAGTGTACAAGTATTTCCTGTATTCAGTGCAGCATGTATTTATGGGATAGTTATAAGAGAAATATAGATCAATAGTTAAAGTTGAAGTAACAATAAATAGCCTGAGGGGCAAATTTAATATTAAGGAATAATATAGATGGTCTAGGTAAATACTTAAAATTGAAGTACCTAACAGTACATAACCTGAATGGTAAATTTCATATAATAAAGGTAATAATTAATTGAAACTGAAATAACAACATCTACTTTGAAGGGTAATTTAATATTGTAGTAGAACTGCGTTGTTGTGGTGATTTACTCCAACAAGCGGTTGGTAAGGTTTGATATAAAGACAATACAACACACTTATCAAACCTGAGTAGTCCCTAATCTCTTGGGGAAACCTGACGGATGGAATTAATATCTTCCGGTATTTCCGATGGCCTGGGACTGGATCAAGGCCGCAACAAGAAGCCACTGGCCCTGGGCACTGAAGTTCAGTAACTAGGAGTCACTAAAGCTTCCAATTGTCTAGAGGAGGCTGAAGATTGGAGGTACTACTTGAAACACACAGTAAGCTCAACGTTTAACTCTTTACTCAAGTTAAGGACTAAACGTGACGAATAAAAGGTGACGATTAAAGCGTAACGTCTTAGACTGAAGATTAAAGTGTAACTTTTGAAGATGATGAATAAAGCGAAACGTCTAAAGGTGAAAATTGAAGTGTAACTTCTAAAGGTGATGAATAAAGGCCTGAGAGAGGGCGTGGAGCAATAGGTAGGTATGTCCAATATTCGGAATTTAACCATATACCTAATTAACAGAAAATTATGCTTTTACATAGGTAATAGAGAAACACAGAGAAGATTAATAAGAAAAACCACTTAACAAAATTACTTTGGCCTTTAGGAACAAACAATTGGTCACGTTGCTCTTTTTCGACTCACAAAAAAAATCCGCACAAGGCGATTGGGTGCTAAAATAACGGATTAGCCACCCTAGATCTATGAGCGAAAACTAGACAACTCAGAAAATCGGCAAAATGTGCCTGGGAATTTTCCCGAACACTTAATCGTGGAAAGTCCTCGACCTGAATGACTTCTGCTTGTCCCTGCAATGTCCTTTAAAAGGCTCTGTCAAAACTCCAAGCTGAAGGGTTCTGGGGATTTTGATGGTAGTTGGGGCATGGGACTTATTCAAATTAAGTTAGTACTGGTCATTGACTCTATTTGGAGCGCTGTCAATCTAGACAATCTACTCGGATCAGACAATCAGCTGTTCTAATGTAAATATTGTAATTTTATTTATTATTAAACTAACTGACTATTTTTTTTAACCCTACCAAAAGGAAATCAATTCCATTATTAAACCTCTAACTTAATGATTCTGGAAAGAATGAAAAGTTTGATGAAAAGTTTGGCTACAACTATTGAAAAGACAACAGTGGCTTGACGAAGGTATGCTATTCATTGAGGCGAATACGCTTATTTCCTTTCATTTTAACCCAGGAAAAATCATCCCGTAACAAGAGTCAAATAAATGTGTGATAGGGCATGACAAAGGACCCCGCACATTTGTTATGGAAAAGTGATCTATGTGGAATTTTGCTGAATTTTTGATATTGTGTTAGGGAGTCGTCCTTAACAAAAGTGATCATTGCGCTAATGTACAATACCCAACAGTTTTCAAGATATCAATTAAAAACTTTTTTAATTTGATACTCTTCAGTATGACGTCACCAGTATGCTCACAGCACCGAAAATTAAAACTATCCTTTCCACTTTTGACTTTGACTACCTATACTTATACTCTTCTCCTTTTAACATTTAGGAAATAAAAAAAAACAACAACAGGTACAAATGAAATCGCTATATGACAGACATCATGACATGAAGTTGACGATTGCGGCAGGAGCTAGGTGTTGTTTGCATACCTACCTATTTTTCACTAATCGCTATCGCTATCTCTATCGCAAAGTCAAAAGTGGAAAGGATAGTAATAATTTTCGTTGCTGTGAGTGACGTCATACTGAAGAGTAGTTTTAACAAAGTTTTTAATTGATATCTTGAAAACTGTTGGGTATTGAACATTAGCGCAATGATCACTTTTGTTAAGGACGACTCCCTATACACAATATCAAAAATTCAGCAAAATTCCACATAGATCACTTTTCCATAAGAAATGTGCGGGGTCCTTTGACATAGGGCATACACTACTTGCCCCCCCCCCATCTTAAATTTTTTATAGGTAAACAAAATGGGGGTAATGGCGCCAAAGGCAATTTTCTCAATAAATAACATCTCTGGCAAGTAAACAAAATGGCGCGCACAGACAATAATTTTTTAGGAACCTCTTGTACTACTTTTAGCATCTGCTCCTAATAACTTACTCGATTTCAGGCCTATTCATTATCTACTCCTTAATTTCCTAGAGAAACCTGAACGCATGTTATGTTTTAAAGGTAGGGCATCATCATTTTAAAGATAGGATCCTCCAATGTCCCCCCTCCCCCCTGGCTACGGACCTATGTAGGGATTTGTCTGATTATTCAAAAACTGTACATAGGATTGAATTGACCTTTTGTTTGGACGCCATATTGCGGTGCGCGAACATAATTGCCAAATGAAGAAAACAAAAATTACATGCATTTAAAACAGAAGTAATTAAATGGGGTGCGTACGATAAGTCCAACTATTGACACTTTTTCACCCTGTTGGCGTTTCTCATCATTAATAGACCTATCAATCGGAAACGCCATGACCCGTCTTTTAAAGAAGGATCAGGGTGAACAAGTGTCAATAATTGGACTTATCGTACGCACCCATGATTGATCCTCGCTATCCTTTTTGTTTGTTTACTTTCTCTCTCTGATTGATGAAAGTGAATAATAGGTAGATATTTTATAGCCGGTTCCATTTGTCGAACCAGTGCAAAAAAATCTTTATCCTTACATGTTACATGCTTTTAAAAAAAGATGGGAATACACTCGGTGCGCACTGATTGACAAATGGAAATCGCCATTATTATTTCTATTCTGCCCAATACAAGCTAAAATTGATGGCTTTTCTTTTCAAAAACATTCGTAATAGGCGGCAAAATTAAATTTTTAATGTAATTTATTCAGTAACTTTTGTTTTTAATGTTAAGAGTACGCTAGTAATTTTTTTTTCTTCTTTTGGCAATTCTGTTCGCGCACCGCAATATGGCGTCCAAACAAAAGGTCAATTCATACTAACATAGAAAGGATGAGGGAACAGTCAGAAACAGGAAAATACCAGTGGCGTACTCTCGATCGACCTACGAACGAATTGAGAACCATACGTAAATATACAAAACTGTACATAGTATTGAATTCATACCAACATGGAAAGGTTGGGGGAATAGTCAGAAACAGGAAATACCAGTGGCGTACACTCGTTCGACCTACGAACGATTGGAGAACCAAACGAAAATAAACAAAACTGCAAACCTTATTAGAATAAGATTTTCTTCAAATGTTTGTAACTGCTTCTTCAATGAAACATCCTATTTATGTACCAAACTGCATGCAAGAACAAGACAAGAACAAGAAAAAGCAAGACAAGAACAAGAAATACCTGCAACACTAATTTTAAGTGATACCACTATTGCTATATCCGAGACGGTAAGAGCTACAATGTCGGTTAAATTAGAAAAAAGTTGCCATTTTTGATGCCCATTTAAGACTCGTTTACAGTGTTGCCAAATTCTTTCTAGTTTATGAAATACAGAATGATTTCTAAGAAACGCCCAAAATAAATTCATCAATTATTTTGAAAATTATTGATTTCCAAGACACAATTTAAATTTGAAAGTTTTTAAATTTTTTTCGCTTTACAACGTCAAATTTCAAATCCGATGTTTCGTAATCGAGCTACCATCATTAACTTCATTTTTTTAAATACGGACATGGATTTTTTATGTCATTTTTAGGAAGTGCCTTTTATTTCCTTTGTAAAAATGACATAAAATGACAAAAATACCAGGTTCGTATTAAAAAAAATGAAGTTGATGATGGAAGCTCGATCACGAAACGCCGGATTTAAAATTTGAAGATGCCATGTTGTAGAGTGAAAAAAATTATAAAACTTTCGAATTTAAATTGTGTCTCGAATATCAATAGTTTTCGAAATAATTGATGAAATAGTTTTTGGCGTTTTTAAGAAATCACCCTGTATTTCCTAAACTAAAAGGAATTTGACAACACTGTAAACAACTTTTGAATAGGCATCAAAAAAGGCAACTTTTCTCTAATTTAACCGACCTTGTAGCTCTTACCGTTTCGGATATAGTAATAGTGGTATCACTTAAAATATACACCCATACCTAACTCCCAAACATGAAGTGCCAAATAGGCCGCTTGACCCGAAATGTATAAAGGCTGGTATTAGTATTTTTCAAGTTTAAGATTGACTGTGATATGATTTAGATAGTTAGTGATTATTGTTGAGAGTTGTTTGAGCTAATTAGTGAAGTAATTAGTGTCAGAGGGTATAGTAACGTGAAATAAATTATAGTTGTGTTGATTGGTCTTTGATTTTGGAATAAACAGACCCAAGATTTCTGTCACGCACCAGAGCCGTGACAATACTTTAAAATATTTGTATTATTTTCTTTCAAGTGCTTCAAGTGTCAGAATAAACACGAGAAAAAACGGAATGAATGACTGCTCACATAAATTATTCTGAACTTAAAAAAAAATACTTACCAACACTTGATGAAGTTTGAGTCGTAGGTGGTTCTGGTCGCAATATCATCGGTGTTTCTGGTAAACGGAGTATTTTTTCGATTCCGCTCTGAAATGGTACAACAGGCAAAGTTTTATTAGGTCCTGGTGATATCATTTGTACGGTTAGCTGCTTGCCTCCAATCTTCACTTGCTTCTATAAAGTAAATTTAGGATGAAAAATGATGGATTTTATTTTGAGGTTGTATTAGTAATTTCCAAACTTTAGGATACAATAATTAGGTAGCTTATTTTATGAAAATCTTGTCCCCCAGTTTTAGAATGCCTACAGCTATCAAAAATCATATTGTAAAGGGAAAATGTATTAGAAATGAAAATATTTCCACCTCCACCCCGTTAAATTGTACGTATATTTTTCATAAATAAAGTATAATAATTAAAGAGAACTATCTGAACAATCGTGAAAACTTACCGTATTTTTAGAAAGAAAGAGTGTTTTAGGAGTTTCAGCAATGGATTTGTCAAATTGAGCTCTCTGACAGGTATGTATTGCAGGAGAAGCAACAGGATATGGGTTCAATGCATCTGTTGTAACTAGCGACCTATTTACTGTCTCAGCGTTTGTGAATGTTCGCATATTTATCGGATTTCCCGTTGAACTGACAACCGGTACTTGTTGGCCACCATTTGTTGAAACTGGCTCAGTTGTTCCTTTAAATATAAAAAATTTGCCAGTAGATTTATTCATCTGTACCCACATTTTTAGGGATTGCTTTAATAGTAGTTGAAACTAGAGGTAACAATGTTGCCTTGGTATCTTCGGTTTGAGGCCTTGAAACTTGTGCGGCAGATTTGCTTTGGACAACGTTACCACTTTTTAGTAAAGGGGCTAAAGTCAAGCCACTACTAGTTTTAACAATTGTCACATGCTGGGGTTGAAAAGTACCCGGTTTGTGATTGGTACCCTTTTGGACAAAGACCTGTTGAACTTGAGGTGTTGTTTTAATTATCGTTGGTTCTTGACCCACAACAGAGTTATGTGTTCTTATATTGGCTGGTTGAATTTGAGTCAACGCCCTTTTCTGTGTTTCTGTGGCGGTATCTGAAGCTTGAGTACCAGATATTTGCTCTACATTAATTGAGTTCTGCTGCACAACTTTGGCTGTAGAATTTTGAATTGTATTTGAAGAAACAGGTGATGCAATTGTAGTGTCTAGTCCTGGTTGAACAGTTACAACTGGTTTGGTAGCTACAGCTTGTTGGGAAGCTGTAACTTTTTCACAAAGATTAACTTTCTCTGCGGTGACCACAGGCGTTACTGGAATTTTCGTTTCTGGAATTGGACTATTAGATGGGACTGCCTGGCAGTGTTTGTGAAAATTTTGGCGCAGAACTATTATTCTGGAATTTATTTGTTAAAGCAAGATCGGGCCAATTTTCTTTTGAGGGATTTGTAGTTGGTAAATTAATTTTCTGAATTTGCAGTACGTATCTTTGAACTGATCTTATGCTTGTCCAACTAACTTGCAATGAATTAGTACCTGCTTTGATCAAGGACAGTTTACTAGGTGCAGGAGGCTTATCTACATCAAGATACCACAAATGTTTAAGACATACTTGAAATGCTTTTTGATAGCCATCTCGACCAGACCAGACATATATTCTAGTGCCTACACCAACAGCACAATGACCAGCTCTAGGACAAGGTACAGTAGATTCGTCTCCACTAGATGTATCAACATAATCCCAATTCATTGTCTCTAAATTGAGGCACCCTATTGTGTTTGTGCATTTCCATTCCTTTTCATACGCGACTAACTTTCTGTTATTGGCATCTACTGCAACCCAACCTCCAAACACAAACATCTTATTATTTATAAGTGTCGATGTGTGAAGAGATCTGAAAAATATTTTAAATTTGTAGCTAGTGTATATTTCAACCGATTAATAATTATTGTGAATTTGGAACAAATCATTTATTATATTCAAAAATTGGTAGTTAATTCTTGATTCAAAACCGCATTTTAAATTTTGATAAAAATTCCAATCACAAAATTCTTATAATGATACTATAATTGCTTTCATTTTGAATAAATAATGCGGCCTCTAACTTATTGTCACGGCTTTGGGTTGCGTAACAGAAATCTTGGGTTCGTTGTTTGTTTATTCCAAAATCAAAGTCCAAGTAACAGCAATAATTTATTTCACGTAACTATACACTCTCACACTAATTAACTCAACAACTAAACTCTTTGCAACTCTCAACAATAATCAGTATAGCAGTCAAACTTGAATTTAAAACTACTAACTACTACCGGCCTTTATATAGCCGTGATTTATTCATGCAAATTCCGGAAGAACCGCGATCGACCTTGTTCCCGGATGATCTCGAATCAGCTGCACAATTCTGTACAGATTGGATTCTCGATATCCTGGTGGTGGCGGCGGCGTTATGTTACTCTGCCCTCCTCCTTAAGGTTGATCGTCCCGATCAACTTCAGGCTTATGATATTTCGTCAATCTGTCTAGATGTACAACTTTCATCTTACTCCTAGCGTTGCGCTGAACTCGATAAATCAAATCATTGATTCGCTTGATTATTCTGTAGGGTCCTTCCAAAGCTGAAGACAATTTCGGCGATACTGCTTTCTTTCTAGCTAGATTATACAGCCATACTGAATCACCTTCTTGAAATACGGCTGAATTAGCTTTCAAGTCGTATTTGGTCTTCATTCGGTCACTGGCCAGCTGAATGTGCTCCCGAGCAAAATCATGTATTCCCAGAAATCGTGCCCTTACTTCGTCGGCATAATCTCGAATTTCTTTTCGTTCTTCTTCAGGTATTCCAAACCTCAGATAGCAAGGTAACCTGAGTTTCCTTCCAAAAACGATTCTAGGTGGACTTTCACCAAATGTTTATCCCAATCTCGCTGGTTCTTTGCGACCACTTTTGTCAGGTGTTCCTCTATGGTCTTATTAAATCGTTCTACCATGCCATCAGACTGTGGATGTAGAGGTGTTGTCCTTGTTTACGAATTCCCATGATCTCACAAATTTTCTTAAAGATGGCAGATTAGAAATTTCGTCCCTGATCTGAATGTAACTCTAGTGGCACACCATGACGACTAAAAACTTCGTCCACTAGCACCTGGGCAATAGTGATGGCTTCTTGATTGGGAATAGCGAAAACTTCTGGCCATTTACTGAAGTAATCCATGATAACCAAGATGTATTTGTTACCACGCTCTGAGTCAGGGAACGGTCCGGCAACATCTGTCGCTATTCTTTCAAATGGGAGACCGACGTTGTATTGTTTCATGGGCCCCTGACATCTTAGTTCAGGGCCCTTACTGCTAACACAGATGTCGCATTTTCTGCACCAGTTTTTAACGTCTTCATGGTAGTGAACCTAGTAAAAAAGTTCCCGAATTTTGTCCAAAGTCTTGTCAACTCCAAAATGTGCCCCTGAAATTCCGTCATGTATTTCTTTTAATACATATTCTACTCGATCTTTTGGAATAACCAGTTAGCTGTTAGTGGATTTCCCATCGACAATTTCCCAAACTCTTTTAAGTAAACCATTTTCTACGGCCGGAGAGTTCCACTGAGTTCACAACGCCTTGTAAATCAAGCTCTTGTTCGATAATTCCCTCCATTCTGGCCTACATTCATCATTTTCTCTAAGATGTAGAAATTGCCCGATGTCTTCTTCTTGATCTGCTCTTATTTGTTTGGTAGTCCATTTATCATCAACGATCAGACCCGTTTTTCTCACAGCCGGACCAGTGTTTTTCTCATGCATATCGATTCTTTGACAATACTTGCATCTTCTTTGCATGGCCGTCTAGACAGAGCGTCAGCATTTTTATGCCCAATGATTTTATGTAAACAACCCTGGGGGCTTCGTCATTACTAACCAGCATTCGCCCCTCTATACTGGTTAGTCCTCGTTTCCCTTTTATTAGGGCTGGCGTCTCTTGATCTCGAAAACGATCCCTTGATGGAAAGGACATCCTTACTCTACAATATCGTTGAATATGTCCAAGCTTATGGCACCGGTAACATTCTATTCGGTTTCTCGGTGTTGGTGTTTGCAGTCGTTTTCTACTTTCTAGTAATAGTTTTTTTTCCACTTGCGTGCGCAAAGTTCAACTTTGCGCACGGAAACTCTTTGCGCACTCATTTTTGTTAAGCATAGTTACCGCATTTATGCTCCATTTTTCAATGTTTTGTGGGTTTCTGGATAAACTTATATCCAGAAAGAAGGGCCAGATGTTATTTTTGTTCCAAGAAAGGCATTCAGGTAATATTTAGCTTTTTTAATTTGACACTTTCCGTATAAAGAGCGAGGGGAAGAAAAATCCAGCAAAAATAGATGTGAGGTCAGGCGACCGTTGGCATGAGAAGTCACCAACTCACATTCCTTTACAGTATCAGAATATAAAAGTTGGACTGTAAGTTATACTCCTCCATGTACTCCCCAACTTAATGTTGCTGCGGAAAGAATGAATCAGACACCAATAGACAGAGCAAGATCTATGATAATGCATGCAAAAATGGATAATATATTTTGGGAAGATGCTGTACTTGCGGCTACGTTAACCCTCCATTAGGCGCGCGAGTTTTTATAACATCATTAGTCGCGCTGTATCACAGAGATACATGTACTAAATCATTGATAAAGAAATTGAACCATCTGATGAATTTCGGTTTTAAAATTTCTATGTATTTATTCGTGTACTCAACAATCACTTTTTACTAAAAAAGAGATTCCAGAAGTTGGATTCTGTTTTCGTTGCAGTTTGGCCAACAACGCCCGGCAGCTTTACCATATTATGTGGTCTCTTCCGAGTCAGCTTGGGAGGAATTTTATCTCATCGAGTTCCATCTTCACCTTAGATGAACTGCCTCTTGTACCATAATATTTATATGAAAAAAATACCAAGAAAACAGTTACAATTGAGGAGCACCCCTGGTAATAAGAAAAGTCGCGTTGTATCAGTCAGGCACAAAGCCGAGCGCACCCCCTAGTTTTTTGGAAATTCCAAATTTCCAAATAGAGGTACGACCATATAATTTTGGAAAAGTGATTAGTATAGGGTACCTAAGGACTACTACAAGCCATAATATTATAGGGTTTTTCCTTTTTGATTTATTTGCAAAAATAATAGGCATGTATCTCTCAGACTTCGCGACTAATGCTAGGTTAAACTAATTTAACAAGTCACATGAAAAAATATCATCGTGGTAAATTAGTCTCGATTTGGCAGGAAAAACAAACTTAACGACTTGTTCAAATTTTAAATGAACCTCGCACGACCAATGTTGGAAATAAAGTCAAGCTGATCACTGAAAAAAAAAATTGAAAACACAACACATTGAACTAGGAGAGAAAATTACTAGTTTTGAGCATCTGGAAACATTTGAGAAGATTAGGTATAGCTCCTCTCTGGTTGCTATGCAAATCTTCGAACACTCGTAGAAAAAGTATTGTTCCTTACACTTGCGCAAAGTGTCTTTCCCGCACTCAAAGCTTATCCGAAATCCGCAACTCGTCTAACTGCTTTTTCGTGCGGGAAAGTATCAGTTTAACACAAATAACTATTTCCTACAGCCGTGCGGAAAAATCGACTTTCCGAACCGATATGCGTGCGGAAAGTGAGTTTTCTCGCACGCATATCAGTGCGGAAAAAGTTTTTCCGCACGGCTGGCTGTCAGTGTGGAAATTTTTTTATCGCACTGATATGTCAAAAAAAAAAAAAAACAAAAATTACATTTTTACGCATGCAGGAAAAATATTGTACCTAACACTTGCGGAAAAACTTTTATTTGTCACTCATTTGTAAAACGTCATTTATCAAGTCAAAACATTAACAACGAAAATTGATTTTTACCAGTTACTGGCTCTACTGACTTGTAAAATTGACAGCTAAACTGTAATAGTTATTTACCTAACAAATGCGGAAAGTGATACTTTACCGCACGCAACGGCAGTTAAGGACGGTAAAGGCACTTTCCGCATGTGTTAGGTACAAAATTTTACCTATGAGCATCTACATCTCCAAAAAAGGGCATTGATAAAATTAATTATTGAATCAGATTAGTCAATGAAATTAGATTAGATTTAGAAAAGATCAAAAATCCATTTTCTGGAAAAAAAAAGGATTTTTGATTATAAATATCAAATTCTACTTTACCGCACACTATGCGGTAAAGTGCACTTTACCGCACACTTTGTAGTCCACTTTACCGCATACTATGCTGTAAAGTTAACTTTACCGCACACTATGCTGTAAAGTTAACTTTACCGCATAGTGTGCGGTAAAGTGCTACTTTCCATTTGCAAATACGTGCGGTAAAGTGCACTTTACCGCACGCTCGTAGGTAAAATTTTTTTACAAGTCAGTAGAGTCAGTAGAATTATTATTAGGGACATAAAGCTTCCGTATTTTTTGGTCGGTATCCGTATCGGTATCGTCCTGCGCATGTGCAGAAGCGATACGGACGCCGAGATACCGTACGTACAACGTAACGTTACGGCCCTCTCGCGGTATCCGTATCGGTAACGTATCTTGACATTCCTGACGCATGTGTCAAATTTTAAATGAATATAACCTCACTTTTCTTCCGGGTTGATTTAATTTATTTAGTTTATACTTTCTTGAGTTTCTTGCAAAAAAAATAACAATTTTATATAAAAACGCCGGAGTTTTGACACGAAAATTACTAGGTTATGAGATGCGTTTACGTTTACCGGAACAGGGAGCGCTTTAACAGCCTTTTCGCTTGTCAACGTATCTAGTTGCGTTACGGATACCGATACCGATACCGGCGAATTTTTTCAAGTAGCTTTATGTCCCTATTAAAATTATATTACCTATGTATCAATTTCTAATTTACTGTTTACAAATGAGTAACAAATAAATTATTGTACATCATACGCCAGGTATTAGTTTTTACTGGCTCTTGAAAGTGACAAGCTCGCCTGACGGCTCGCTAGTCATTTCCTTCAATCACCAGTAAAAACTGTTTCCGCACTAATATGCGTGCGTAAAAGTTTTACCGCACTTGTTAAGTAAATAGCTATTTCCTACAGCCGTGCGGAAAAATCGATTTTCCGCACTGATATGCGTGCGGAAAATGAGTGCGGTAAAACTATTACCGCACGCATATCAGTGCGAAAAAAGTTTTTCCGCACGGCTGTTATAGCGGAAAAAATTTTACCGTACATCTTTCAAAAAAAAAAATTCATCGAACTCCGCTACGCGGCGTTCGGTAAACGGCAGCCGCGTGCGGAAAAATTCATTTTCCGCACTTGTTAGGTAAATAGCTATTCTATTTTCTCCATGAAATTACTCATATCATTCTCGAGGTTACCATTTTCTTTTGACGATTGTTTATCCTTTGGATCTTCAATGGACACTGCTCGTATTCTGGGTCGTGAGGCACCAAAGATAGCTTCCAGTTCAATGCTCTAAGTGCTTCGCTACTATTTCTGAACTTCTCAGGTTTTCTTGGATTTTGGAATCTCTGATATCATTAATAAACGCAGATACTGCCATCCATTCCTGCATGTCTTCCCCAGCTGCAGAAAACGCCAAACTAGCCTTTCAATGTTCGATTCGAATTCTTGTAAACTTTCGCCGGGTTTTTGAATTCTTGATTTAACTTGAGTTCTAAATACTTCTTGTATGTAATGGTCTCCAAAGCGCAATTCTAAAGTCTGACTTAGATGCTGGTAATTTTGTTGGTAGATTGAAGGAATTGACTGAAGAAGATCTAAGGCAGGTCCTCGTAGCGCCACTATCAGTTCTGTAGCTTTTTCTTGGTCGCTCCATCCGTTGGTATTTGCAGCAGCTTCAAGTTGTCGGATATACATAGTCCAGCAAGTAGAACCGTCAAAAGTTGGTGGTTTTATCTTCACACTAGAGAATGCCCCAACACTAACTGGATTGATGGACTGTATTTCTTATTCATTCACCTTATCTTCAAGTGCTTGAACTTGGTCCCCAACTTCTTGTCTTAATTGCTGAACATCGGCTTTGACCTCAGCTTTTACTTCCTGGACGTGGTTTTTCACTTCTCGAATATCGTCTTTAACTTCTCGAACATCGTCTTCAACTTCTGGAACATGGTCTTCAACTTCAGCTTTTACTTCCATACTCTTTTGTACTCTACGTTAAAGACAAATCCGTGTATGGTTTGAAATATTTTCTGTAGTTGTCCAAGGTCTTGTTTTTCTTGTTGTCGTTTAGCTTCTTCTTCTTGTTTTTCTTTTTGTCGCCTAGCCTCTTCGTCTTGTTTTTCTTGTTGAAGTTCCAACATTTTGTGCAGGAGTTCTTCAACTTCTAGAATTTTCTAGAAATCATTTGAAAATTCACTATCACAGTCAAAATCGGGTATACAGTCATTTCCGGGGTAATTTACACGATCGGTTAAGTCTTTTTTGGTGATTGTCACTGCTTACACTGACTAACTGTCCCAATGTTCACTATAGTGTTCAGACTAGTGTCTGCGCGTCAAAGTCCAATTAACACAGCAATAATTTATTCAACGTTACTATTGTTTGCCCAGCGGATCTGAGTCTACGGAAGGAATTCGGACGTAAATGTGCCATGTTGCCACGTTTAATTATAAAAAAGCGAAAATACTAGCTATGAAGTATAGTTATTTT